ACTTTTGGACGCTGAAACGCTGGTATTTACACAGTTTTTTGCCCGTGACGGCGCCAAACCCCTGTAAATTACAGCATTTTTTGCACTTTTTGAACCGATTTTTTGCCTTGATGAACGCAAAAAACGCTGGTATTTACGCGTTTCCCAAAAAATCGAAGATCGTGACGTGAACGAAACCCTGTAAATAACAGTGTTTTAGCCACTTTGGGGGACTAAAGCTGTGGTATTTACGCGGGTTCTTGCCAGCTGACAGCGCAATATGCTGTAAATTACAGCACTTTGTGCGCTGTTTATGTTCAATTTTTAAACGCGCGATGCTTTGACATGTTCTTTGCATTATTTTGCACTCTTCCACAAGAAACAACGTTGCAGATTGAAACTGGAGGGAGGAGACGCACAGGAGCTTTTACCCACACACACAGGGGCTTTTACACAGAGAAGTCTTTACACAAAGGAGCTTTTTACATACAGAAGGTTTTACACAGAGAAGTCTTTACTCTAAGGTGCTTTTGCAGACAAACGTCTAGGAGCTTTAACTCACAGAAGTTTTTACACGAAGAAGTCTTTACACAGAGGGCTTTTTACACACAGACGCGTTTGCACACAGAAGCTTTTACACAGAGAAGCTTTTACACAGAGGAGCGTTTACACACCAAAGCGTTTACACACCAAAGCGTTTACACACAGCAAGCTTTTACACACGCAGGGGCTTTTACACATTTACACAGAGTAGCTTTTTACACACAGAAGGTTTTACACAGAGAAGTCTTTCCTCTGAGGAGCTTTTTCACACAAATGTCTTGGAGCTTTTACACACAAAAGCTGTTACACAAAGAAGTCTTTACACAGAGAGCTTTAACACACAGACGCGTTTACACACAGAAACTTTTACACAGAGAAGCCTTTACACAGAGAGTTTTTACACACGGAAGCTTTTACACACAGAGAAATCTTTACACAGACGTGCTTTCACACAGAGAAGTTTTTACACAAAAAAGTCTTTACACAAAGTGGTTTTTACACACAGAAACTTTTACACACAAAAGCTTTTACACAGAAGTCTTTGCACAGAGGCGCCTTTACACGAAGTAACAAGTTGAAATCGGCAGCAGTTCTTTAGGAAAAACCCTTCGCAGGAGCTTTCGGGAACTCACTTGCTCCCCAAAAAATCGTCTATTCCAACAAATATGTTCCAAAAAACCTAAGGAATATATATTTCTGAAGCAGGTCCTCATTCAGTAACTTTCACGCCCACACTGCGATGAAATGGAGGGCCGAGTGGTCCGGCGGAGCCGACGAGGGGCGTCAGCCCAAAATTCGGCTCCGCCGGCTCCACACGAGTACGCTGACAAATGCGTCACGAGCGTCCCAGAGCGACTAGAGCTCTATGGTGAGGCGCGCCCCAAACCGCCGACCCTCCGACGCCGGGCCCCGAAAAACACCAAAAATCCTTCAGGAGGGTGGGGGAAAGCTTTTTGGACGGAATCCGGGTCGCTCATCAGCGTCTCCAAGAGCAAAAGGCCCCCCCCCGTTTGGAGGGTACCTAAAATCGGAAAAAAGTGCCGTTTTGACACATTTTTCGGACGATTTTTCGCTTTTCGAAAGTCACAAAATGCTGTAAATTACAGCATTTTTGCGTTTTAACGTCTTTTGCGGGAGCCATGCAAAAAAGCAGAAAATGCTGTAAATACCAATGCTTTTTGGACCCAAGATGCACAAAACACCGCAAATACCAGTGTTTTTGAAAGCCAAGCAAAAAAAACACTGTAAATTACAACATTTTTGGCGGGTTGATTGCAAAAACTGCTGGTATTCACAGTGTTTTTGCAATTTCAAGAAAACGTGGAAGGCACGAAACACTGTAAATAGCGGTGTTTTGGCCACTTTTGGACGCCGAAACGCTGGTATTTACGCATTTTTTTGCCCGTGGCGGCGCCAAACCCCTGTAAATTACAGCATTTTCTTCCCTTTTTGAACCGATTTTTTGCCTTGATGAACGCAAAAAACGCTGGTATTTACGTGTTTTTCAAAAAATCGAAGATCGTGACGTGAACGAAACCCTGCAAATAACAGTGTTTTAGCCACTTTCGGGGACTAAAACTGTGGTATTTACGCGGGTTCTTGCCATCTGACAGCGCAAAATGCTGTAAATTACAACACTTGGTGCGCTGTTTATGTTCAATTTTTTAACCCGCGATGCTTTCACCTGTTCTTTGCATTCTTCCACAAGAAACAATGTTGCAGATTGAAACTGGACGACAGCGTGACCCGAAAGAAAGCTGGATGGAGGAGTCGCACAGAAGCTTTTACACATACAGGGGCTTTTACACAGAGAAGTCTTTACACAAAGGAGCTTTTTACACACAGAAGGTTTTACACAGAGAAGTCTTTACTCTAAGGAGCTTTTGCACACAAACATCTAGGAGCCTTTACACACAGAAGCTGTTACACAAAGAAGTCTTTACACAGAAGGCTTTTTACACACAGACGCGTTTGCACACAGAAGCTTTTACACAGAGAAGCCTTCACACAAAGGAGCTTTTACACACAAAAGCATTTACACACAGCAAGCTTTTACACACACAGGGGCTTTTACACAGAGAAGTCCTTACACAAAGGAGCTTTTTACACACAGAAGGTTTTACACAGAGAAGTCTTTACTCTAAGGAGCTTTTGCACACAAACGTCTAGGAGCTTTTTCACACAGAACTTTTTACACGAATAAGGCCTGACAGAGAGAGTTTTTACACACAGACGCGTTTGCACATAGAAGCTTTTACACAGAGAAGCCTTTATACAGAGGAGCTTTTACACACAAAAGCATTTGCACACAGCAAGCTTTTACACACACAGTGGCTTTTACACAGAGAAGTCCTTACACAAAGGAGCTTTTTACACACAGAAGGTTTTACACAGAGAAGTCTTTACTCTAAGGAGCTTTTGCACACAAACGTCTAGGAGCTTTTTCACACAGAACTTTTTACACGAAAAGGCCTGACAGAGAGAGTTTTTACACACAGACGCGTTTGCACATAGAAGCTTTTACACAGAGAAGCCTTTACACAGAGGAGCTTTTACACACAAAAGCATTTGCACACAGCAAGCTTTTACACACACAGGGGCTTTTACACAGAGAAGTCCTTACACAAAGGAGCTTATTACACACAGAAGGTTTTACACAGAGAAGTCTTTACTCCAAGGAGCTTTTGCACACAAACGTCTAGGAGCTTTTTCACACAGAACTTTTTACACGAAGAAGGCCTGACAGAGAGAGTTTTTACACACAGACGCGTTTGCACACAGAAGCTTTTACACAGAGAAGCCTTTACACAGGGGAGCTTTTACACACCAAAAGCATTTACACACACAGGGGCTTTTACACAGAGAAGTCTTTACACAAAGGAGCTTTTTACACACAGAAGGTTTTACACAGAGAAGTCTTTACTCTAAGGAGCTTTTGCACACAAACATCTAGGAGCCTTTACACACAGAAGCTGTTACACAAAGAAGTCTCTACACAGATATATAGCTTTCACACACAGACGCGTTTACACACAGAAGCTTTTACACAGAGAAGCCTTTACACTTTACACAGAAAGTTTTTACACACGGAAGCTTTTACACACAGTGAAATCTTTACACAGACGTTTCACACAGAGAAGCTTTCACACACAGAAGCTTTTACACAAAGAAGTCTTTACACAAAGTGGTTTTTACACACAGAAACTTTTACACACAAAAGCTTTTACACAGAGAAGTCTTTGCACAGAGGCGCCTTTACACGAAGTAACAAGTTGAAATTGGCAGCAGTTCTTCGGGAAAAACCCTTGGCAGGAGCTTTCGGGAACTCACTTGCTCCCCAAAAAAGCCGTCTATTTCCAACAAAGTTCCTATTCGATGAACTTTTTTCAAAAAACATAAGGACTATATTTCTGAAGCAGGTCCCCATCCAAACGCTTTCAAGCCCACACTGCGATGAAATGGAGGGTCGAGAAATCCGGCGGAGCCAACGAGGGGCGTCAGCCCTTAAATAATATATATATATAACATTTTCATATGTATGCATATTATTTTGTATATGCTCATGTGTGTATTGAATATATATACATATACCATATACTATAGAATACTATTTATATCATTTAAATTTAAACATATATTAAGTTTTACATACGTTACATAGACAATATATAACATGTATAGTAAATATTTTCATGTGTATATTATACGTATATATACATACACCACATATCACTTATCTTACACTTCCTTTTGTACAATCTTACCGGCGTCTTCTCCCCAAGCCTGCCTCTGCCGGGGTCACATCAACTGCAGCATTGTCAGCAAACCAAGGCTGTGTCTCTGGTAACCTGTGCTACAGCTTTCATGCGGAAACACTTGCCTACTGTATGTAAATCACTCTAAATCACTCTTGCAATGAGACAAGTAGAGACTCCCGCAGCCAAGTGTGACTTTGTGGAATCCCAAGGTCTCAAGTGTCCTTACAAAATTCAGCTTCCTCCGTGCCAAGTGTTGGCCAGGGTACATCTAGTGCATTCATTACTTGATTTTGCCATCCTACTCATGTTCCCATCTTCATCTTCAAATTGCTGACACCTGAAAAGAATGAACAATAAACTGTGAATCGACCATACCATAAGATACAGAACCTCGCAAAATGGGCCTCACAAGTCGGTTTGCCACATTTCTGGATTGTGTTACTCTGTACTTTTCCTATTTTGAATCTCAGGCTGGATCCTTTTGCTTGTCGCCACGAAAAGCTCAAGGGCCTAAAGGTTTAAGCCAAAAGGTGCGTGACACAGCAGTCATTCACAACCAGGCTTCTCTAAGACCATGCATACAACAGCGTGGAATCACACCCGTCTTATCTACTGGCGTGAATGCGGCAGTACTATTTACAAAAAAAACACGGCATGCACCTCCATTCCTATTGGAATGGCCAAAATGGTTCACCAGACTGTCTCATTCTGGCACTACTGTTATATTCCAATATCTATACACTTCCAAGTCTCCCAGCTCGGCTTCTTCACATTAATGTACCCCTCAGCGAGCACTCTGACAAGAAAGTCAGGCTTCATGCTCTTGATCAAACAGTCTGCCAACTGTCTGCCAATATCAATCCATTCGATCTCATCTCCTGCTGGGCGATAAATCTCACATGTCTTCTCACCATTGATCCACAGAGCTTGTCTCAGCGCGGAAAGCTCAATTCCCAAGCGCTTGTCTTGCACCTTGCGGGCAACCTCGCAAGACAAGTGGTCACTCAGGGCGCGGCAATCTGTGAAGTACAGATGCAACATCGCGCGTTGGCTCTGTTCATACCATTCTTTGAATGATTTCAAACGGCCAGACAGTTCACAAAGCAAAGCACGTAGCTTGTCTCCAGACTCAATTGATCCCTGCAAGGCGTAAGCCTCAGCCTGCACATGTAGCTCCGCAAACTCTTTTCAGGGTCGACGATCCAAATCCAATCAGGTGAAATGCTCACCCAGCTTCACACCATTCCGAGACGTGATGGAATGGATACGTCCGTGTTGGCTCTTGAACTCAGCTTCGTTTGCAAAGCTGGCAACAGAAAAGGTAACGACCGCAAGATCGTTGAATCAATCCAGTCAGTCTTGAAAATGATTTTGAAGTCACTTCTCTGCAAAGCGAGTTCCACAACTCGATTGGCGTTTGAACTGTGATTTTGGAATGGCAACAACGTTGGAATTCATCTACGCGGTAAGCAAGATCTGGCCGTCCATATCGGCTCACCCATGCCAGTCCCCCAACGACACTTCGGAGAGAAGTCAATTCCTCCTGGGCCAGGGGGTCATTCATCCTTCGATCTTTTCCAATTGCAGCTGGTTTCAAGTTCCGGGTGTTGTCTCGGACGTCCACATGAATTGTGTGATCATCATCCTGGGAAAAGCGGCGACCACAGTAGCGAAACGAACCTTCCTCAATCTTCCCAACCGAAAAACGGTTGAGGATAGCATCTACGGCCTCCTTGCCTTCGTCCGTGTAGGCGAAGGGCAGGTCATCCACATGAGTGCACACCATAGCGGCAAGCTCCTAGGTCCTAGGCCTTACCGAAGAGGAAGTATGTCACAGGACATACCTGGGATGCCACGAAATCCTCGTGCCAAGATTTCGGCGTTCATCCGCAGATAAAAACCTCGTCCAGCATCTTCGTTCCGTACACTGGGACTCGGCACATCAACACCGCGTCCTCCGGGATCTCAGCATCAAACATCGTCAATCCTCCGCGAGACGGGGCCATTAGCAACAACCTCGTCATCAGAAACTAGTTGAAACTATTTGCAATTTTTGCCAGGGTGAGTTAGCAAATAGTGGGAAACGGTTCGGACAGTTTCGGACTATTAACTAGATAGTAGCGGTAAACGGTTTGAAACCGTTTCTGTGATACCCTTACTCTGACTTCAATCATCAAACAAGACAATATACTAATAAAGATAAATATAGCTTAAGCTGACAAATCAGACATACATTATAATATAATGAAACTCTTTACAGATTGAAAAGTAAGAAAGAAACAGTGCATGATTCTGAGATGAGGAGTCAAAGAACATAGAACGAAAGGGAATGAAGAATGCCTGCACCAACCGCCTGGCAGCCTTTCTCTCTTGGTGAGAACATGGTTGACTTGTCTGGGGCAATCTCTGGACTTCAAGTGATTGACTGCTATCCTTGTCCAATGGTTGGGATTGCTAAAAGCAAACCTGGTTTTGTAAATGGTTTCTGGGTTTGGGGCAAGATTGAGAAATAGTTTCTAGGATTTAAGAAATAATTTCTGGGATTTAAGAAATAGTTTCTAAGATTTGAGAAATAGTTTCCAGGATTTAAGAAATAGTTTCTGGGATTTAAGGAATAGTTTCCAAGATTTACGAAAAGTTTCCAGGATTTAAGAAATAGTTTCCAGGATTTAAGAAATAGCTTCTAGGATTTAAGAACTAAGCTCTGGGATTTCAGAAACAGCTTCCAGGATTTAAGAAATAGTTTTTAGGGTTTAAGAAATCGGTTCTGGGATTTAAGAAATAATTTGCTTTCATATCTACATCTTAGGAGGGTTAAGCTGGTAGGCTCCCGAAGAAACCGGACTCCTTAGGCTCCCCCGACAGACCTGGACACACACCAGTCCGGACTTTTGGCGGAAATCCCCGGCGTGGGTATCCTCTGAGGTGCCTAAAATGCCATGTGGCAAAGGCCTGCTAACAACATCCCCCAACTCACCCGCAAAGGCTATCAGCCACATGGATTTTGTTTGGGGAACATATTTTTGGGGGATCCCACAACTTGTATTCGCAGCGTTGTATGGTGCATTTGGCAAGAACTGCGTTGGGACAGGGTATGTGTTTATGTTGCTGTTTGATACACCCTTTCCTTGAAACAGCATTACAACTGGTATGGCGCGATACTACTCCCAACTTGATTCTAGATGTTTTCAAGTTTCAAGCGTCAACAGTTCCAGCGTGGTGAACCATGGGTGAAGGAAGCTCTAGTACTATGAAACTGGCATGTGGGGTAAAGACATCAATTCTTTCTCGCCACAAACTACCATTGGCAAATGCGTGTTCCAAGATTGACCAGGAGGTTTGCCCTGACAACATGGTCAATAACAACTGTTACTTGCAAATATTACCCCGTTGGTTCAAGAAACGGTTCCTGGAAAATCAACATGATTTAGCAAATGGCTTCGACATTTTCTACTTTACTTGAAAAAATGTTTCTACATATCCTACTTATTTAGCAAATGGTTGCTAGTATTTAGCAATTTGTTTCTAGCATGTAGCACATGGCTTCTAGAGTTTAGCAAATAGTCAATAGTTTCTAGTATTTAGCAAATGGTTTCCAGAATTTAGCAAAGAGTTTCTAGTATTTAGCAAATGGTTTCTAGTATTTAGCAAATAGCTTCTAATATTTAGCAAATGGTCTCTAGAATTTGGCAAATTGTTTCTACCTGTGCAAGAAATAGTTACTGGATTTTACAGAAATGGCAAATAAAGAGGACAACGCACTCCACAACATGGGTCCTTGTCATCTGGTTCTTGATGACCAAGGCCCAAAGCAAACACACAGCAAAGTCCTACTTTTCTCCTACGGCTTCTGCGTCATTCACAGTCTTTCGAAGCATAGCCTTCATGATCCCTTCAGCTCGCTCCACCTTGCCAATTGCAGTCTCGAGAGGTTCAAAAAATGACTTTACAGCCATGTGATGCCAGGAGTTTTGGCATGCCACCTCCAACCTTGACTACTTCAGCCAAGTGGAATCCAGTGGAGATATCCACAAAGCTAAGTATGGAATATTTGTTGCCAGCGTTGTCTCTGGCTTCTGCAACATCCATCCCTACACACGCACTGAACTCAAACTGAAACTTGGGTCCTACCGGATGCTCTCTGGGGCGTGGCTTAGCATCTTCACACACTGTGCATCTGACCAAACGTGCACTCTCAACCAATTCAGCAGGTGCCTTGCCTGCCTTCAAGATTGCTCTCAGGGTCTGAGGCGTCGGATGCCCAAACTGGCGGTGAAGGCGCCTAATGGCAATGCGTGTGCGCTGCGGGAGTCTTCTCCACAGTGCTCTGCGCTTCTGCTCCTCGACGGTTCCTGGCAAAGCCACTTGGTCAAGTGTAAGGGGCTCTTGCTCGCCTGGTGTCAACTTCTGCAAGTCTACAGAGTCTTCCACGGGTTGCATCTGCATGTCAGCAGATGAGGGATCCAAATCCCCCTCGTCATCTTCAATTGTCTCACCAACAAAACAGGTCCGTGCAAAACTGCTAAGATACCTTTCTTCCGGCGTTTTGCAAAGCAACTCAAGCATGGCAAGTCCCTTGGAATCTTCAAAACATTTGGGGGCTACACCAGACTGATCCCAAGTCAAGATCTCCTCTTGAAGGTCTGCTGCAGTTGGGCCTGCCAGGTAGACGGTCAAATCACCACGTGTTGACATGCATAGGTCATGGAAATCATGAAACTCATGATGGGGACAAAACACAACAGCTCCACAGTTGCTCAAGTCCGTTTCAATCCAGAGATCTCCCAACAGATCTAAAGGGTCAGTTTTGAGAGGAAAAAAAGCAATCAGACCAGGTGGCTTTTGGGAAACTGTTTCAATCAGCTTCTTGCGTGTCTTTGTCCAATCCTCCTGGATGTCCAGGGCCTCAACTCCATCATGGGTTTTCCAGGGCAAATGGCAATCCTTCAAAACAACCATGTGGCGTGAGTCCAGTGGGGTCTGGCTCACCAACGCTGTCAAAACCCTGTCTTGCTCATTCATGATGGACAACCCTGCAACAAACGCTTGCTTTTTTCACCCTTGTTCATAGCGCAACACGAAACTCCACAGCTGACACTGTACATCGCTTCTACCACAGGTGGACCATGACGCTCCACCACATTGTCATCTTCAACCTCTGAAGACGGTGACAGAACGATCTCTTGGCCAGGTGGCTGCACAGTCAACTGCTTGTCGAGGTCCTGAGATGCATCTAAGCACATGCTGGATGATCACCTGCATCATTGGACAACTGGAAAGGACCAACAACACGCTTTCATCGGAAATTTGTCTTTGGGGTTTCTCTTGGACTTGGGGTTTATTCCCGTCAACAGGCAACTCAACACCAAGCATTGCTGAATTTTGTTCTGCAGGATGCTCGGTTGCGTTCCCTGCTTCTGGAGGGTCATTGATGTTCTGGTCATCATCTGGAAGTTCTCCTCCCATCACCAGGCTCTTCATGATCGTCTTCCTTCTGATCATCCATTGGATGTCCCCAGCCATCACCTCCATCACCATTGCCTGCTTCTCCAAGGTCATCAACCTCCTCAGTGAGTGCATCACAGGGCGCAAAGATCATAATGGGTCTGCACCCGTCAGAGTCCACTGCCCTGCCACATAGTCATACGTAGTGACCGTCCATGGCACTTCACCCTTCATCTATTCAATGGTGAACTGACGAGGCGCTGGATCATCACCCAAAACGACGACCTTGATGTTGGACTCATGGCTGGCTTGCTCCAGTGCAGTGCGCTCCCTACAAGCCGGGTCAGACCCCGGAAAATAGGGGCCAATCCACCTCAGGCAACGTGCCTTGAAATTCCATCCCTTGTTCCCCGCGAAGTACAGCTCGTCGGGACCAGCACGTAGCACCGGGAATGTCCAGTGAGCAGGCCAGCGATTTGTCACATAGTTGGTGTACCCAGACTGCTTTGGCCAGTATCAGTATCGCTCGCTCTCAGAGCGGCTCCTGTCAGGCAGTGGAACTCAAAGTGGTCTTGGGAGCGGTGGACGCCCTCGAAGTTCAGCACGTGGTGCTGATGGTTCCTTGATGTTCCTTGATGATCTTCTCCTGGAATCGCACGAATCGCTCCTTGTTCGGGATCGTCGACGCCGTCCACGAGAGTGTGAACGTTACCGACGTCGACGTCGATGCGACGACTCCTCCTTCTCCTTCCTCAGGTCATCCAACTGCTTCTGCATTGCCTTCATGGTCTCAAGTAGCTGCAGTAGCTCAGACGTCGGAGGCGGGTCATCTCGACGTTCAGCACTCATACTCGATGCCCTTGACGATGCATGCATAGCAGGGTCCGGAAAAGCTCCTCGACGATCTGAACCAGGCGCCTCCCGTCGCATGGGTTCGAGATCTCACCGGAATTGGCTGTCTGTCCTCTCTCGGCGGAGGAGGCCGTGGTGGCTTCTTGATCCCAGGCGGTGCTTGCCTCGTGGTCACTACTCTGGCAGGTGGCTTGATATGCGGCGAAGCAGCCTTGGAAGTCTGCTGGTCCTCTCCCATGGCGCGCGCTTGAGCACAGGCGCTCCATACGAACCAGGCTTTTGCGCAACCTGGTTCGTTGGTATTGGCTTGATCTCAAACATCTCTCGGCGCACCCTGGTTAGTGTATAGTTCCTTTCTACCATATAGAATATTCAAAATTGAGTACTAAAGGCCAAATCCTCACAGATAGAATACTGTCATAGTACCTCATTAAACAGACAGCATATTCAACGGAGCAGGCAAATCAACAAGCCACACCTATGTAAAGTGCTTCAAAAAGGTGTGTGTGTGTGTGTATATCTACATATATATATATACCCCTTCGAGTTAGGGGGGAGGGGTCGCACCCGGCGTCTTGTAAGCATAAACCAGGGGGACTTCCAAAAGCCCTATTTAAAAGAAAAAAAGTTGGTTTTTGGGATTTTTGGCCCTTAAAAACAGCATAGGTTTTGAGCACCCACATTCGACTTCAAACACCTACAGTATACC